ACAAATATAGATTTCTGTCCATTATTTAGATGCTTAAACGTTCTGACCTATTTAAAAAGGTACATCATAATGAAAAAAAAAATCCTTGGAATTGCTGGGTTTTTTAAAATGAGACCGTTTTCCCCAGTTAGTAAATGTACCCAATTTAAGATAATAAAAAAAAGTTTTATAAAGAATGAAGGGATCAAAAAACACTTTTGTATTTTGCAGAGCTGAGATGAAGAATCTTTGTCTTCAGGAGAAATTTAAATCTCTACAGACTTTTACCTGTTTGCCCTCCATCTTCCACATATTCAATTCTCTGACAGAATCACATATCTTTTTTTAAAAACTTCTATTTTTACAAACGTGTAACCTCTTTTGAATTTTTAAAAATGAGAGCGCTCACAGAGGCAAAACATTAAGGAAGGCAAAAATGTTTCATTTTCATTACCAGTCAGAAAAATAGTGTTGCCCTTGATGTAAAAACTTAAATGGAATGTTTTTCTAATATATGCATAGCAAAAATTACTGACACGAAACATCTTGCTGCTCCTCTCGGAATGTTTATTTTTTTTTTCTTTTGTAAGAATGTTTATGTTTTAAACTTACTTTCTTTTTGGGGTGAGTATTTCCTTTCAATGCACTGCTGTTTTTGGCTGTCCTGCATTGGCCTTACATTCCTCTCTCAGTGCTGAATCTTAACTCTCTACAGAAGTCCTTGAAGAGAGCAAACAGGAGGAAGGATGTAATAAAAATGCATGACACGGCGCTCGTTTCATCAGCTTTAAGTATCAAACCTGATCACCGCTTGCTAGTGTGTGCTCTGATCTTATTCATTCTCACCTAAGCATTGCCTGGTTAAGTCTAGGATGTCTGTTCTGGGAGTTTGTTTTTTTCCCTCACATGAAATCCTTAACATCAGAGCAGCAGTGCATGAGAGACCCGAAGCAAACCCCAACAAAAACCCACTGAAGCACTTAAGCCTCAGAAATCTCTCATAATATTACAATTGTGACTAGAAAGCATTTAAAGTTTCATTAGGCCACAATTTTAAGTGCAAGTTTATCTGTTATATAAATCAGAACAACCAGCGATGCGCAGGTACAGATGATGTGGAAAACTGTCAGCCAGAGGTCAAAGGAGACAGTGATTGTCTTCATGATCTCAGTGCAGGATTTGGGCACTTTTTGCTGAATATGAAACTGGAAACTCCTACAACAATTAAGGTACAGCATGACAGTTGCATAATGCGTATCATAACAGGGACGAATAAACTCTGAATCATCTTTTCTTTGGTTGCATAACCTTTCACTGTGGCTAAAATGTTAGCCATGATGGAAGCGGTAGTGGCATACAGATTCAAATATCAGATTAGCGAAGGTGTTTTGAAGAACAGAATGGATTTGCCTCTTACTTTTGTGCTTTCAGGTCAGAAAACCTATCAGGCAGCTGCTGCTCATCCAAAATGCTGTTGCCAGAGAGTATGGATCACTTTACATCGGCCCTTAAATCCATGCATTGGCTCTGTTTGTAAAAACAGAATGTAAAATGCAATTGATGGTATGTAGAACCCTTTGGTCATCAGACAGCTCTTCAATCTGATTGGTATCTTTGCTCTTCAGCTTTGGGACAAACTGCTTGAACACCTGAGATGTGGTGAAAGTGTTGGCTCCTTTAAATCAGGTGCTTACAGCAGTTTTACTGAAGCATTTCTCTGTTTATTTCTATCAGATTTATTTTTTTTCTTCTTTGCATTCATAGTTCTTTTTACATTTCTACACGAGAAAAATCCTGTTTTGTATACCTTATTATTATAATATCTCAGGATATTGCAGTTTCAAATATGTTTTAGAAGGTTTTTAGTGTAACTATTATGAAGTAAACACTCCTGTTTTGGTTTTTTTGTGCTGGTTCATGGAAAGTAATATATAGTCCAATGTTGAGTTGCCAACCTCGCTGATGAATTCATACAAATCAAAACCCATATATTCTAATACTTCAGTATTCAACACTCAAGTACAGTTGTCATTTTAAATTAAATAATATTTTATTATGCTCAAATGAAAACAAAAACATGTACATGTAACACACACAGCTCTTCTCATCAAGTAGTGAGTTGCTGAAAAACGCCAACAGGTTTACTGTAGTCATGAACTTTCCAGTAGAAAAGAAAAAAGCTGAAAACCGTAATGACTCGCTGTGACGATAAACTACAGAAATACAATAAAGACAAATGTCAATTCTTCCATGAAACAAAATGAACACTGCATAAAAGACCTCAATTGGTTGAGTCAAGTGAATGTGGGGCCGGAGAATGCCCCACCGCCCCTTTAAGTGCAAGACGTGCAAAATCTGAGGCTGTTTCTTTGTTTGTGAGGTGCACAGAGTACAGAGCATCAATTCAAATGCCTCTCACTTCCCCGACAAGTAACATGACTTAGGTCTTATCATTTACATAACAGAACATGGTGGGATTCATTTAAAAAGAATCAAATATGTCAGACACTGAGTTCCAGTGTCTGAAAGCACAAACAGTTCTCTAAGGTGCAGCAGTGAATGCGATATGCCTTTCCACAATACACAGGTGAGCTTACATACTCTGATTTAAGATCTCAGATTATAGTCCAGCTACACAAAAACATATGATGAGAACATGTACATGATTCAGATTAATGCATAAGGACAACTGATGAAAAACTAAATTCATAGTAATTTTACAAAGCTGAGGGGAAAAGTGGCAAAGGAAGCCTAGTGGTCAACGGTAACATTGAATATCGGGTCTTTATGGTGCTTTGCAGATGTGTTTTTACCCTTTTACTTTTCTATCATGTCATAATCTAAAAATGTTATGCATTTTTTGGGGATTTTATGAGGTAACACAACACAAAGAACTGCTGAATTACAGAGTTTATTTTTTATTTTTTTTTAAATATCTGAAAGTCTTTTATTTGGATTTTGATTCACTCCTCTTTACGCTGATACCCCTGAATAAATAAAGACAATCAGTCACTCCACAAATCTCAAGAATAACGCAATAGAGAAATTCAAATAAGTGTATGGCTATAAAACTAAATCTCAAGCTTTGACCCTCTCACAGAGCACTGATTAATTTACCAATCAGAGAAGGAACCAGGAAAACTAGAAGAATCTGTCCTCAGGACAAATACTGGGCATGTAATCCAAAAATCTGACTTTAGTGAGAGAGAAGCAAGAACAAAATCATTCTTAGACAACTTGTGTTTGCAGGTTGTCATAAACCATGAAGGGCACATGCAGAAAAAGGTGCTCTAGTCTGATGAGACCAAAATTGTACTTTCTGGCCTCTGTGCAAAACGTTGTACACACTATCCCCAAATTAAAATATGAAACGGCAGAATCCTGCTGTGGGGATAATTGTGGACAGAAACGCTGGTTGGAGCTTATTGGGAAGGTGGACAAGGAAAATAAGATGGCAAACAAAAACTGTCAGCAGCTGTAAAGGGTAGAGCCTCAAGGATCCTAAACATAAAGCCTGAACAACACTTGAAGAGTTTACGATTATCAATCTGCGGACATTAAAACCGATGCCCAAGGATGCTTTCCCCACCAGCCTGACTGAGGGTGAAATGTTTTGGAAAAAGAGTAGTCAAAAGTTTCAGATAAAAATTTGCAGATTAAGTCATGGCAAAACGAGGTCGTTTAAATTGACTAATTGAGATTAAATAAAAATTCCCAGCAAACTTTTTAAGGCTTTTACTCACAGAATTTTTGAATGCCGCATTCACATTTGCAAGCAACTTTTCGTTTGTCATATAATCCCAATAATATGCTTTGAAATTTATGGTTCTGATGTGACAAGCATGAAGAAGTTCAATATACTTTTGCAAGGCAGTGTTTATGACAGCTATCTTAAACCAGTGAGATATATCATTTGATCTAATGTTTTCTCATGGAAGAAAAAAATAATCTTAAGGAGACCAGGAGGTTTGTTTGAACCTGCGCTGTGCAAGCATAAACACAGGAAAAAACATGTTTGTTTTTTTTTTTTTGTTTTTTTTTTTAAGCTCTCACTGAAAAAAATAAGTTTTATGTGAAGTGTCCAAATATATACACACATTTTACTCTGGCTCATCAAGTGAGTTCCTTACTAACAAGTTTTCTTTTGAGAAATTATTTTACTTTATAAAATTCTCCTCTTAATACATATCTCTGTGCTTTTCCTTCTCTTTCAGATTAAGATTTAGAAATCTATACTTACTGACAAACAAAATGCTCATTTCAGAGTTAAGATATTGCAGATGTGCAACAGTGTCAGAAGACGTGTAGTAAATGCCACTTATCCATTAGCTTTAGTGTGACTCTTAATACTAGAAGAGTCACACTCCATCAATGGAAGAATCACGTCTTGAGTCCAAACCACCAAATTATTTAATTCCAAAGCAAAACCCAGATTGGTGGAGTTAGATCTCTGTAACGTCGCCGTTTTGTTCCTTCGATGTCTACTGTATTTCTGCTCCAGCTGGAATACCTCACATGGTGATGCACGCAAATAGACTGTAAAACAAAGTTTTCCAGCTGCTTAGATAGAGCTTCTGCGTTTATTCAGTCTCCTGTAGGTGTTGATGCTGTGCAAACCTGTGGACACCGAGCTGATGCCTGAGTGATGGTGCAAGCTGCACACGCAGCCGTTCGAGTGCAGAGGGTTGGAGAAAGCCTCCCCCTGCTCCATGTAGGTATCTGATGTGGAGAGGTCACGTGGGATGATCATGGGGATGGAGTACTGCAGCTTCTCTCTGCTCTTGTACCAAAGGCAGGAACACATGGACTGGAAGTGGAGAACCTCGGCGTAAACGTTACGTAAGCCGCGGCTCGCAGCCCCTCCGCTGCTCCCTCCGATTGCGCTTCCACCGCCACATCCAGGCGGCGTGGAGGAGGGGGAGACGGGGTCTACGGAGCAGTTAATGTGCCCACCCACCTGGCCGTTATGGGCAAGAAGAGCCCTCTGCTCGGCGTCCCTTTTCTCATCCTCAGCATTCATTGTCATGAATCTCAGTACTGCTAAGTTGAGGAAGGCTCCAATCACCGCCAGACCCGTCAAGATGTAGATAAAGCTGAAGGCCACGTACTCCGGCTTGGTCTGCAGGGCATCCTTATTCTGCAGTGCCACGTAGTCCCCAAAACCGATGGTGGTGAGCGTGATAAAGCAGTAGTAGTACGCATGAAAGAAGCTCCACTCCTCAAAGTGAGAGAAGGCCATCGCCCCCACGCATAGCGTGCTCATGCAGGATATGAAACCAATGGTCACCATGTTGGCCAAAGAGACTTCGGTGCGCCTCATTCCAAGGCACTTCTTTAGGCGATGGAGCAGGTATCTGACAAAGGTGTTAATCCGCTCACCAACGCTCTGGAACATGACCAAAGTGAGAGGGATACCTAGGAGGGCGTAGAGCATGCAGAAGACTTTCCCTCCATGTGTGCTTGGGGCTGCATGGCCGTATCCTGTGGGAGAAATGGGAGAAAGAAGCAGGGTTACTGGGGTGAAACTAATGAAAACTACTCTGCAGATGACAGGGGTCTAACAAGAGAGGGCTGAAACCTGGACTTGAAAGAGACAGATGATTTGTATTCTCTGAGTGGCTCTTCAGATAAATTCAAACACTCTTCATTTCACAGTGGCAGAATGCAATTGGAGATGAGAATGCACAGGAGTGTGGAGGCAGGAAGAGCCAAGTATTGATGTCGTGTATGGGAGAGAGGTCTTGAATAATTCATTGACAATTGGTCTCTGCAGAGTGGCTTTGGCTAATGAGTGCATTTGCACCTAATTAGAGCTCAACATTGTTCCAGATCAAATAAACAGGACACCAAAGGCTAGGTTGTAAATACCCGTCTGTATTTGTACATCTGAAAGAGAGAAAAAAAATCTCTTTGTCTTGTATTACTCGGAATTTTTAAGTCATAAAACAGCCAGCAGAAAGGCAGCGGTACACTTTGAACAGCGAAAGAGCCCAGAGCAAGAAATTCTCAGGGAAGTCAGTTTTTAAGAGGGTTGCACATCAAAGTTTTGGGGAGAATTTTCTTTAAATTTAGCTCCCAGAGAAACTAGATATTTATATACACTGCAAAAAACACACACTACCTTTCTTTCCTCACAGTCACATTAGATCACACTCAACCACTCTTGTTTTAGTTCAAGTTTGTCAAAATTATTTTAATTTGTGAAGTGCCACAATAATAGTAGATATTTTAATGAGACTTCTAATTTTTGGCTTAAAATTCTTTAAATGCAGGAGTTTATGTACAATCTGTATGACTTCTTTGGTGTCCTTCAACAAGCTTCTCATAAAGTTTACTGGAGATTTTTCCCATTTCACTTGAAAGAACTCATGTAAATGAATCCTTTACACCTACATTTTCCACTTAACTTTGACGTCTTTTAGCCACTTTATGACTACTTTGGTGGTAGGTGATGGTGTTAGTTATGGATGCAATAGACAGATTCTGTAAGTACTTTTGTTGCACCTGATTGTATATTTGAATATACGTCACATTCAAGGTCTTTGACTCCCTTGCCCATCCTCCTGACATGTGGAGCTGGTGCAAACAGAAACAGAGATAATCCCCCTGATAACCACAGGTTGCGCAAGTCAAAGAGGTTGATCGAGAGTCCAAATGTAATTACCTGAGGGTTGATTTAATTCTCGAAGCTCTGGTTTTATTGGAACACCAATCTGTTTCGTCCCACCATCTTTCCTTCTGGTGCCAAATCTGTTTAAACATTCCCCCCTTCAGTCAGCAAAAGCAGGAGCCACAGTTAATGATGCGATTTGAGTTATTTTATCTTTCGGGAGAACATATTGAATCCCATATTGAAGCCCCTGTGAGAAAGATTAGCAATTTATTTATTTTATATAGAACCAAATTACAACAACTCTCCATTTCAAGGATCAACAATCCAAGCTGGATTTAATCAGTCAATTCCATTCAGACATATTCAAATCTTGCAAAATCAGTTCAGTTCGATTCTGTATGCCAATCATACAGCTTTTGTCTAGACTAGCTAATCTACAAAGCATTAATCTTTAATCTGGTCAGTCTGTTCCCTGAGGTGACAACTCAGATCTGTGAATAAGACTTATTTTTAAATGAATTTTACTCTCTTCATAGTTATTTTCATTATTGCCTTCCTTTTGTGAAGGCATCCCAGCTCACTTCCTCCATCACTGCACCATTTAACACATGTTGTAATCTGCTGAAACAACTACAGTAGATGAGAACAGAGACCTAACATGTTCAGCTGTGGGAAAATAAGTTCTCGGCAGAATATGAATTTTAACATGACGGCTTGTTTCGCTTTGAGATTTTTGTGCTCTACCAAAAATGTTGCAGCGTTCATTAAGCAAGTCAGCAGGACAGTTTGTTCAGGTGAGCCACAGACGAGGCTGCAGGGCTGTCACAAGCTCTTTGCAGTGGGGAGCGGCTTACTGAGACGCAGGGATCACCAGAGTGACAGCGGGGCTCATCAGCAGCAAATGCTGGCGCTTGAGGCGACAAGCCGCACACTCATAGCATGGTGTGAGGGAGTAAAGAGGTCCCGCATGACAGTCATCCCGCTTTCTCAGGTTATGAGAATGTTATCATGAGACAGACCATGACTCCTGTGTTGGCAAGAGTACCATTCACTCCTTAGAAAAAAAAACAAAAACCTCTCTAATATTGTGTTACTACCTCCTGGAGAACTCCTTGTCCTTCTGGTAGAAGATTAAATATTAACGCTTAATATGTGCAATCGTGTCACTACAAGGGCTTGATGATTGCATATGTACTTACTATTACTGGGTTGGACCTGTTTTTCCCTTTAGACGCGCTTTAATTATTAGTAGGGATGCACCAGTATGAACATTTGGTCCAATATCAGTAACTGATATTAATACTACTGCTGTTATGGTTTTATTTATTGAATTTTAACATAAGAAAATATCTACGCTTGTTCATAATGACGTATACAAACATTACCCATCGTACCAGCCATTGATGCGGATATAGAAAATACCAACTGAGAAGGAAGAGGGGTGACTGTAAAAATGAGTTTTTACTTCCTCCCACTTCTTTAAACATGTAAGTATACTTTACCACTGTTCTTCTTTTGCTTTTGTTCTAAATTTATTTTCTGTGTATATAACTTTGTTTATCCTTTCATTACACGACGTTCAATACAGTCAAACTCAACTAGAATCAAAGATTTGTAAACTGAGAGTAAGTATTTAACTATTATCCGAAAGAAAATATTAGATCATCAGATGGTAGAAGTTTATCCTTCTGTACTTGGCCTTGTATTTGGGAATAGCACCTCACTCGTCTCTCCTGCTAGTGTTGGTCAGAAATGCAGCGATTGCGTGGCGTCCTTGCTTCTGTCAGGGCAGCTGTGGCTTCAATGTAGCTTATCACCATCAATGTGTGAATGTGTGAATGACTGAATGTAATGTGAAGCACTTTGAAGTCCTCCAGCTACATAAAATGCTACACGAGTACAATCCATTTACCATTTTTTAAAGCGCTTTGGGTTTCAGTTTCTGCCTGCTGCCTCAACCAGTCAGATGACCTAATGTGTCTTTCTGATTCTAAATCAAATAAATCTTTTCATCATTTTACTAAATATGAGCCAATCTGAAAATACCATCAGCCTGAGAGGATTCTTATTTATTTTTAAGGCCTCAAACCAAGCATGCAAGTCATTTTACCCACTCCTTTCATTTCAGTTTTTAATCAAAAATGGGTGCACATCATTCAGTCTCTGATTACTCAGTCTGATTTTGCAAATTAAACGCCCCATATCATCTGAATTCACTCATTTATGGCAGCAAAACTACAATTACTGATCCAGATTTTTTTTTTTTTTTTTTTTTATATTTCATCTTTTAGAGCTGTGATTGCTTGTTTGTCTGCTTAGATGACAGCTCACTGTATAAACTTGGTTCCCCAGGGCGTCTGCCTCTAAAGAACTAAACACACAGCATCCGACGTCTTCATTGCGCTGATTAATTGGCCATAGGGGGGTGGGTGAGAAACGGTCTTTGAAAATAGATCAAAGAGCAGCATAATGTAGCTCTGAGGGCTCAGGCTCGCTGTCACTCAATTAAATTTCCATTGATTACCAAGAACAATTTGTTCTCGCCAAGAAAAGACTGGAAATGTGGCTCATTGGGGGAGAGATTCTCAAGTAGAAGAAGCATCATCTTGTATGTTTATAATTGTATTAGTTTGTTAACGTGATGTAGAGAGAAAATTTTGAGATAAGCCATTTTGCGCGCATGTAAAACAAGGCAAGGAGCACAAGGAACAAGATGACGCAGAGACCTAAACAGCAGTGGTGCTGACAGCGCTGATGACACTGGGCTTGACGGATAATATCCTCAGACATCTCTGCAGCCTGGAGAGCAGGCAGAGTCATGCTACATAATACACTCGGCTGTGTGTTCTTGTGTGTGTCCTGCAAGATCTCACACAAACGTAGCTCCTTATTTTCTCTTTGCACTGTGCAAAAGTTTTCGCACTCCTTTAACCTTCTCGCAGCCACTAACACTCAGCAAAAATGGACATTGTTAATTTGTGATTAGTCCAAATGAGAACATTCTTTGTAGAATAACCTTTAACTTGAAACTGAAGCTGCAAGTTTTCATTGTGAAAATAGCACCTTCACAAAATGTTTGTCATTTTGATACGACAAAAACCATCATTAGGTTGTTGCATTATGTGTCTCTCATTCCCTGTCAAAAACAGTCAAAACCCAAATAAATAAAAAATATCAATATTTTACTATACCGTAGGCTACGTGTATGGATAAAGTAGAAAATAGAAGCACCTAAGTGTGTAAAAAAAAATACATATTCTGATTAGTCAGGCACTGACATACAGGAGATGGAAAGTAAGTAGTTGCATTTACTCGCATTGCTGTAATTGATTACAATTTGTCTATACTGTGTACTTTTTGAAGGAGTTTTAAAAAGCCTTACTTTTACTTTTATTTTGATTAAGTATTTTATTCAGTTACATATGAAATTGTAAAAGGAAAAAGAAAACACCAGAAAAAAACAAACAAACAAACAGCATTGATCCTTTAGCTGGGTTAGAATTAAGATCTGCACTCGGAAAACCCATCAAGTTAACTTCTGAGAAAAAGAAAAAACCCATGAGGGACTGGTTCAACTTTAAGTATGACTTCTGGCACAGAATCTTTTAGTGGTACTTTTACGTTTTTTTTTTTTTTTTCAGAATTACTAATTCAAAAATAAACACAAAAAGCTAAGGGAGGTATGTAGACGAATCACCTGCACACGTCACACCTGCTAGAGCACAAACAAACTGAAGATGATATATATGACAGCTTTACTAAGAGGATATCATATCAAGGCTCTGTAAACACATTCTTTCTGGAAGGCTGAAGTGAGTTCAGAGGTGTTATACACATCCAGCCTTATATGGCCAGCCTAGTTCTTCCA